CCCCCCCCCCAGCTTAATGACAGCTGCAAAATCTGGGTCTCGCACCACCACTACGGATTGGGAACCCATATTTATCACTGTTGACACAAAGCACTAACGGCCCTCAAAGGTACATTTACGGCTGGGACTGAGTAGACAAAATGCTTAGTGTATGATGGTTTGAGAGGGTTGGCATAGAGAGAGACACACAAGATGTCCTGAGAGTATAAATGACGCATAGGAATGATTCGAATGCAGCAGGTCACGAGCTCATTTCGAAGATGGGGGAGGGGGCATGCCAGTAAATGCATAAATCCATCCTACATATGCGGTTTGAGAAGTGGCCGTATTTAATTAACATTTCATTTCAATTTTGTAATGCTCCATACTATCATTTGACTGATTCAATCAAAAAGTGTACGATCGACAGATTGTCCTCTGACTCAAAAAGGACACTGAGGAATCTGGCCGTATTTTACATGTCTGTATTAGAATATTATACCCACTATGCCCGGCTGATGCTTGTGAAAATTTAGAGGTGAAAATGAACGCAGGAACAAAATATTTACAAAAATTAATGAATAAGCTTTCTTATACAATTATTCAGGTTGGTCTATAAGCTAGCATTCCTGGTTAGCACAAAGGTCTCACTTCTAAACGGTTATTTAACGACTCACGTTATTTTCCTTGAAGGCTCATCTAAAGTCTCAAAACAATTCTTGGCAAGGACGAAGGTTTCAGGAAAGTGAGAGCATCACGGCGTAGAGCTCTCGTCTTCAGTTCCACACAGTATTGTTGTCGTCACGTGATGACTGTTTCGAGAAGACCTGCAAAAATGTGGTCTGGGATAAAGTACCAGTTACGCACAGCGTGTTTTTCACCTACTGGAGAAAACTTTATCGCAAGGTGGTCTGATGGTAGAAGAACCATCTGTTGGAGATAGTGATTTCTGAGTCAGAGTTTCCAAGCCAGCTCACCTTCAAAGATCCGAATATTTAAATACAAAACCAACTGAATCAATAACAGACTAAATATACGGTAAAAAGCCTCAAATGAATAGATCATAATACCCAGTTATCAGGTCCTCAGTGCTTACCTTTAATTGATGTGAATATTCTATTAAAAAGGAAAGGGTTCTTCATCTTGCAGTGCTCGAAACTGACTGTACGTAGGTCAACATTCCAGGGAGAGCTTCTTGCTCGGATGAATGTGGTAGGCTAGAATTTAGACGCGCATGAGCATGTAACTACCATTCAATTGCGGATAAATCTGAACGAGACCGAAGAGTGTTGAGAGTAAATATAGCCGAGAATTTTAACCTGCTATTCTTATTATTATTAAAAGGTCTATCAAAAGGCAACCTCCAAAACAAAATGAGAGAAATATCAAGTAAGCACTAAAATGGGGATGATTCTTTTTTGCACGCCAGC